CTGTCTTTGATTATGTACTTGTCTTCTTGTTTCGAACGGATGTTCTTCTCCCGTTTAAAAGAGAGTTTATTTACAATGTTGCTCTCTCGGAGAGAAGAAGTATATCTACTATATCTACTTGTTACCTTATTTGTCTTCTTCTCTCCTTCTTCTTCTTTTCTCTTTTCTTCGGGAGATCATTTACACTCTTTCATCTTGTAAATGCTCTATTCTCTCCTCTATACATACTTTTCGAGTGGGACAGCCTTCTACATTTATGACTTTTCAAGAGAGAAAAATTGTCACTTCTGTTCATGCTTGCGAAAATCGTTGAAGGCCCGGCCCGGCTCGGAAAGCCCGGAAGGCCCGGCCTTGAAAAATTTTGAGGGCCCGGACAGGTATTTTTTGGTCGAAATTTCTCAAAAAAATTTTTTTTGATAAATTTTTGAGAATTTTTCAACAAAAAACTAGTTTTTTGTGAAAAAACTGTTATTTTGCTTCAGAAATGCAATTTTTTCTTCGATCTCAACTTTGGAAAAATCCAGGAAAAAAAATTATTTTTCAAAAATTTGTTTAAACATTTACAAATTCAATATTTACAATTTACCTTAAAATTAGATGATAAAAACTACTTTTTTCCAAAAAAAAAACACACTTTTTTGCCAAAAAATCGAAGCTGGCGCCAACTGGCCGGGCCTTCCGGGCCTCCCGGGCCGTCGCAACTATGCTTCTGTTGAATCAATGTCAATATTTTATCATTGATTGCTCATCTTAATCGGGTTCTAGACATGACTAATTTCTAATTCAAGTGTTCTTTTTCTCCCATTCGTCAAATTATCTTTTGATAAGCGGCAAATGACTCATTGATAGTTTTTATTTCCTCAGAATGATTCTTTTTAGTTTTCAAATGATTTTTTGAATAGCATTTTAATTTACCTAAATTCTGTAAGAACAAGTAGGGCTTCATTTTTCGAAACTATATTTATTTTTTATATTTTTTGCTCAAAGTTTAGTTTTTTTGTGAAATGATTCTGCGATTTTACCGATTTTTTTTTCAGAAGTTTTATCCAAACTTTTCTCCAAATCAAATTGATTTCATTGGGGCATCCCTTTCTCCTTCATTTCACACATCCATTCCAATGATCTGATTTCGATCATCCGATCTCTTCTTTCCGCCTGGGAACTCAAGTGTTTCAATGATTCCGAAAGTAGATCATTGCTCCGTTATATGTATAATGATAATTCATGAAAAACAACAATGCTATTTTTGCTCCCTCTCCCACTCATTTTTTCGACTGTCCGGCGGTGAGCTTTTCAATACGGCTGATAACAAAAAAATGCGGTTTTTATGCTGCTCGTTGCCGCCGTTTTTCTGCTCTCCGCACACTTTCCGCGCGGCTTTTCCGGAAGAGAATTTTCTGCGTTTCCTGACTTTTAATTGTGTCTTATTAACCGTTAAGTTAGAGAAATTCACACCCGGAAAAGACACACACGTCACAATTGATAGTTTCAAAAAATGAGCCAAATTGTGTCAAATTTTTTAAAATTAAAAAATTGGAAAACACCGTAAAACCTGTAATAGAAGATCCCCTCAACTTTTAACTTTGAAACACTATATCTCAATTCCTGTGATAGATACAAAAAAGTTGTCAACTGATAAATTGTTTATCATAATATCAAAAATGTTTTACCTGTTAACAAATTTTTGATATCTTGAATAGGAATCAAGATAAATGAGATCAAAGCTCAACTGACGTTATGGGGGCTTTTCTATTACAGGTTTTATTGTATTTGTCGAGTAATAATTCTAAATGGGAATCGAAACCGATTTTCAATTAGTGTCTAGAATTTTTTTTTAACCTTACTGGATAATAAATTTTGAAAACCCTCGTCTATTTACCTATACCATTTTGCGACTCCACTTTTCAAGTGTTCATTTGTGAAATGAGCACTCGAGGGCCAGCAGCTACCCAACACCCTTCTAAAAAACTTTCTTCCGTGATCTTTTTCAACGAAATTTTAACCCCACAGAGAAAGAGACCCATTTGTTTTTATCCACTCGATATATTGTGACCTATAGTGACCAATATCCACTTTGCAACTTTTGAATCGATTTTTTTAAAGGATTTAAAGAAATCGCTTAGATTGAAAAAAAATAAATCAGAAAGGGTGGTATTTTTCAAAGAATACTCGATTGTCTGATCGAAATGAGATTTTAAAATTTAGGTTCGGAAGGAGGGTTGCAGAGTAATTTTATTAGGATATGGAAGTTTTTTTTCAGAATACTTTTTTAGGCTTTTTCAAAAGTTTCCAAGTCTTTTTTTTGGATTTTTTAAAAATAATATTAGGGTTTTTTAATGATTCTGAAGTCTATTTTTCATATCCGCATACCGTTAACACACTTATAGAAGGACATCCTATAGTGCACTTCTAGCTCAATCATCTCCATTTCTATTAGAGATATTATAAACAGATCAACTGATAAAATTTTGGTGACATTATTTCAAATGTTTTATCAGTTGACAAAATTTTGATATCTTTCACAGGAATCCATATAACTGAGATCAATCTTGAGAGTGTGGGGCCCCTCTATTACAGGTATCTTGAAATGTTTTCTTTTTTTTAAAACGTAGTAAAAAGCGACGCATTGGGCAAGAATGTCTCCAAAAACTTTTAAAAAGTTGCAATCTTTTTTTTCAAATTCCTTCTTTTCCATATATCTTCTACAAACTGTGAGTCTGACATTCAAACTGTGAATAGGACGATTCGTTTCATCCTAGAGAAAAACTGGACGAACCGCATATTTCCAACCATTTTTTGCAACATATAAAACTATGAAATCTCATATAAAACTAATTAGTCAAACAACTTATCCCTCCCACCACACCCCGTTTCACACCCTGTTCTCCTCTATCATCATTATACAATTACTAATTAATTCATCCTTCTCCCTCTCTCTCTCAGTAGTTTTTTTCTCGGACTCAACTTTTCCTCATTTCCATTCCGAACTGGTATCCTCTCTCTCCCTCATTGTGCCCGTGTCTTCTTTTTTTTTCTCGTTCATTATGGGCTTCGGTGGATTCTGAATCCTCCCCCATTCAGTCGCCTTCTCCTCCATCGTCCCGAAAAGACCTATGTTTATCCGTTCATTCCCGTGTGAACGGTTCCTGGGAAAACGATGGTCAACGATCGCCCTTTTAACCTTCATCAACTTCAAAACTTCCTCTTCCAATGTTATCCCGAAACTTTTAATCATCCCTTTTCGAAACACTCCCTCAAAAACCCCACCCTGTCTGTTATGATGGAGGGGAAGGAATTTTTATAGACAGTTTTCAATTAGTAAAACCTTTTGGTCATCGCAAAAGTGAAAGTTTTCTGCAAAAATATGTATAGTGAGACCATTTTTTGGTAAAACCTATAAAAGGGCGAGTTTATAATCAGTTTTTTTGAAAACTGCTGTGAAACTTTTTCGGATTTTTTTAATGTCCTGGTTCAAATTGACTCTATTTGGCTCAAACCCTAGCCAAAAACTACCGCAAAGTAGAACACCACTCAAACCGTCAACTTTGAGCTTACATATCTCGGTTCCTGTATAAGATATCAAAAAAGTGGTCAACTGATAAAATATTTTTGATATTACGATAAACATTTTGTCCGTTAGCCGCTTTTCCTTGTCTTATACAGTAACCGAGATATATGAGCTCAAAGCTGACGGTTTTGGTGACCTTCTATAAAAGATTTTACGGTAACCATTGCCAAAATTATATATTTTTTTTAAATTTTACATCTTTCTGAGGCATCCGTTCTTTACCAAATAAATTAAAATAAAGGCGCCAGCATCAGTTGTGTAATGTCTGAAAATTGCTTCAGAACTTCCGAAACCGAATTCTGCCCTCTTCCCGTGTTGCAACCGTTCACACTTTTAGTGATAAGTGACCATCATCCTCGTCATATTCCTCCCATCCGCAGTAAATCTTTATCCGTTTTTTTCTCCCAGCAACTTTATCGCTCATTCCATCTTGCCGCCCAGTCAATTTGTAGTAGTTATGACAGACAAATGTACTTTTCTCGACGTCTCTCCCTTTTCTATACTATTTCTCTTCTGGAATATCTGTTACCTTGGCAGTATATCTCAACTTGTCATCCATTTTTATGAGGCCCATGGGCCATTTTCAAGACCTAACTTCCTTTTTTCTCTTTTTCGGCACCTTTTCTCGTCCATTCTTTTTCTCGGACAGTGAGGACTGCTAATACCTTTCACCTTCTTTTGTGTTCCTTCACTCTTCTTTTACAAATTCTTCTTCTTCTTTTTATTCCTCCTTCTGGTTGTATATGCAATTTGTGTTCGGAGAAGAGTCTTCTGTGGGTCAATTCATCATTGTTACCCATGTTTCCTGGGGGGTTTCTTCAACTTTCTGCGTCTCGAAACAGAAACACTTTTTTTGAACTTTTGTATTGTCTCGAACTTTCTGGATTTCTCAAACCCANAAAGTTTGAAGTCACTGAAATTCAGAAATTCAGAAATTCAGAAATTCAGAAATTCAGAAATTCAGAAATTCAGAAATTCAGAAATTCAGAAATTCAGAAATTCAGAAATTCAGAAATTCAGAAATTCAGAAATTCAGAAATTCAGAAATTTCTTTTCCCAGAGCGCGGTTCCACCTTACCTGACATTCTTGCATGAGCTCTTTCCATGTCATGACATATTTCTATGACCTTTTTTATATAAAATGTTTTTCACAATTTCCTAATCCGGGTGTTCTATAAGTTAAGTCTTTTCTATTATATCTTCATCCATCTTTTCCGCATTTTTCTCTCTTTTCAAATTTTTTATTTTCCCCCGCATTCTCTAAAATTTTCACCATCAAGATTTTCTGGTCTGATATTTAGTCTACCGATTCCATTTTCCCTATATTTTTCCAGACGGACGCCTTTAGAAATACGTCAAAAAGAGGAGGAAGGAAGAGTTTTCTGGCCACTTGATAATGGTCATTTTTGAATTGCGAACCGATTAGAAACAAATGGAGTACCCTTATGGGGCAGGTACAGTCAAGGTTAGTCTTTTGTTTCATAAAATTGTGACCCGAAAAGGTAATGGAATTGGATATGTAAGATTTATTAAAAACGATAAACAGGAGTTATAAAATATGAAAGATCTGAAAAAGAGATATGGTGGGAAAAATTTACAGAGGGATTCAGAATCTCAGAGTCTCAAGATCTCAGAATTTTAGAATCTCAAAATATCAAAATTTCAGAATTGTTTTGAAAATGAAAATCTTTTCTGGACTATCGAAATTCTGAGTTTTTGTTTTTGAGAAGGAATAATTAAACATTTTTGAATTTCTGAAATCTGTTCAATGATTTTGAGAATTAAGATTCTGAGAGTTGGAAATTCAAAGATGAGATTCCAATGATTGAGATTCTAAAATTTTCATATTCTATAGACTTGAACGGGTTCTTGTTTTTGTGAACTCTAGGACCACAGATTTTCCAAAGGTTCTGACGATTCTGAGATCTACTTTCAGAACATACAACATAACATGTACACGCTATTTCAAAGAACCTGGTCGGAAAACGCGCCCCAGCGAACGTGAAAAATCACTGCGCGACGTGTCAAATTTCGTTGACTGAGAATCAAACTTTTAAACGTTTAGTGAAAAACTCGCGAGTTGCAGCGCTTTAATTAAAAATATATAGGTCACATCCACGTCAACTTTTAAATTATCAAATTTCTTCTGGCCTAAAAGTTATTACAGTAGAATTTTTTATTTAGGATTGTATTCGGTGCCAAATTTTTCGTAGAATCTTATGGTAAAAAGAAAATCGGGGGCACCCCTTCCCCCCCCCCCCTGTTTCCCCTTCAAAACTTCCAAAAACCGGAAATTTTGAAAGTTTGGGATTTTGGGATAGGTATTAAAACTACTTAAAGGTTATCAATTTTTCTGAAAATTGACACAGGTGTACACAAGACTTAGTTTCACCATAATATGCAAAAAAGGTTGGGGTCATCGCTGAAATTTTTTTTATTTTGGCTGGAACTTTGGCTAAAAATTGTGTATTACGGCGACAGTAGAAATTATATTTTTTTCAAAATCCAATCCCCCAGTTCATAATCTACCAGAATCCATCAACAAATTTGGGGGCATCCCCCCTTCATCTAACACTTTTAGCCCATTTTGTCAGTCCGACTCCTATTTTTCAAAGTTTTCGAACCAAAATAATGAAAATATTGAAAAACTGATGGTTTCATTCAATTTTTCGCAGTCGATTACGTAGGGACAAGTTTTAACCCAAAAAATAATGAGTTTCTAACGCCCGGCACAAGACTTCAAAGATGGACTTCTGAAAAGGGGAGAAAAATTTGGTCGCCCCGCTTCCTTTCATTGCGGCGCCTACATATACCGTATTTTTCTGATAAAAGCCCATCGAAATCGTCTACTTTGAGCTCGGTTATCTCGATTCCTATGAAAGCTATCAAAACTTTGTCAACTGAAAAAATATTGGCAGCATTATGAACAATAATTTGTTAGTTGGCACGGTGTTGATATCTTTCGCCGAAATCAAGATTATTGAGAGGAGTGTGGGCTTCTAATTTCAGACCTGTCAAAGTCCATATGTTTTGGTATTACTTATATTTTTGGGTTTTTGAATTTGTTGCCTTCCAATGCCAAGAAAAGTACAATTTTTCTAAATCCTCAATTTACTGAAGTTTCAGATAATACCTGCCTCCGCATTCCGAGATGTTTCCCTATATCAACAGCACTTTCCGTACGACTATGGACAGGTAAATAAATAAACAAAAAACACCCGCACATCGTTTTTTGTCAATCATTTCTGTTCTCTCTTTTCTCTCTTCGTCATCCATCCGAATCACTTTCCAATCGTTAATCCTTTCTCTCTCTCTCTCTTCACCCCTTCTAAACCATTTTCTCGGTTCGAAGTTCGGCCAACTAAATAAGTTTGTTCTCTTTCTTAAAAGGGCCTCTAAACTGTTTTCAATGGCCCTTCACACTTCCAAAAGCTAGCTTCTAATCCGGGGGGAAGAGAAGCGGGAAACGGGAGAAAAGGAAAAGAGCAAGTGTTAAGCGTGACAAGTGTTCTCAAGAGCCGCCAGCACCGAGCCGCGCCCCACCGACCACTTTTCCCCTTTGATTTTATTTTAGCTTTATCAGTTTTCACCTATTTTAGGAATTTGAAACTATTACTTGAATTTTATCAAGCCTTCGAAATGTTCATTGACTTCTAAAAATCAAAACTTTGTGCTTTTAAAGAAGGGGGAACAGAAGAATTTTCGAATTTTTTTGGAGTTATGGTATGAATTCTGGCGTAACGGTAGCTCAGCTGGTAGCTGTGGGGCACCGCCTTCGGTGGGCCCGCAAGTTCAATTCCTCGAGGAGCGTTTATAAAAAATTTGAGATAATTTTTTTTCATGTTCCTCCACCTCTAACCTTTTTTTCTCTTTCCTTTTTCAAATCCGTTAGTTGCCATTGTGGGGTCAACATGGGGATTATAGCAGGAGACGGTTTTGGCAGTCCAAATTATTTTTTTTTGTAGTTCAGTTTTTCGAAATGTCCACTGACAAAATACCATTTCTATTGGTTGCTATTCTAAAATATGAGTCGGTAAGTCATTATATCGGCTGTGACACGGAACACACCCTTCTTCGATCCGTTCGGAACTTTATTAGTTCTTTTCCTTTCATTTATCTATTCTGCTTTTTCCGTTTGAAGACGAAGAATGTTTGACAATTTAACTAATTGTGCCTATCTCTTCTCGCGCGCAACCGTAAATTTACACTATCTTTTCTTTTACGAGCCAATTCACCGCCTAAATTGAGACAAAGAGAATGAAACGAATTCCTTTTGGAAGACGTTGGTCATCTCCTTGGAGGTTTAGAAGAAGAAGAACGTCTTCTGAAGTAGACGTACAGATGTGATAATGAAATATGAGAAGGGACGGATATGCTTCTCTCTTCCAGTGCCTATTTATGAGTGGGATATTATGATATGTCTGTCTTCGTATTTAAATCTCAGATTCTGTTTTGGACAAGAGTCTCTGGATGGCATTTGTAAAAATTGATGAACTTGCTTCAAAAGGGACTCCGATAAAACTTGTACTGCATTAAAATGATTGAAAAGTTGTTTTTAATCCGTAGTCTCGGAAAAACGCCGTGTAAAGTGACAATTTTGCTAAAAAGATGACCAATTGGGCCGATAATTTGATTTCCCGCGCAGTGAGAAACCTAGGCCACGGCGGAGGGACGCCGCCTTTTTGCATAGCAATTTTCCCGGATTTTTCGTCTTTTATCTCCAACATGTAAAACGTTTAAAAGACAAGAATCTGTCACTTAAAAGAAAGACGGCTCGCCGCCGTGGCCTTGGTTTCTCACTGTGCGGGAAGTCAATTCCTCGCCCCTATTCGCCACCCTTTTAAGAAAAATCGTCCCCTTTAAAGGCTCTTTTTGGATTTTTGCAATATTATTAGGAAAGTACATAACTTTTAAAACATTTTAGTGCAATAAAACTTTTTGGTCGGAGCCCTACTTCAAAATATTCTTCCGTTTTTGCCATTTCAATTTAAATTCCAAAAAAAAAAACGAAAAATAGAGTCGAAGAGTAACAGCAGAAGAAATTCTTTTAGATGCTCATTCCAAAGTTTGTTAGTTTCTCTGAACATTTCAGTGGTTTTTCCCAGCCATTCCAAAAATTGTGAACGCGCTTACGACAACTCATAATGATATAGTTTAAGACTTTCAACACTTTATTCTCAAGAAAATTTCACTCAAAACCCGCAAAAAATGTGCCAGATGTTCCTCTTCTATTTATCTAATCCGACCCATCTCACATATCTTTATGTTCTTTCTCTTTCGGAAAATGTCCAAAAAGTTTGAAATCTTCTTTCTCTTTCTCTTTTGATTTGTTTTGTGCGTGCTCACTAGATTCTCCTCCTCTCCCGCACAACAGTACAAGCCTCCCGTTGTTGCAAAGATTTGAATATTTGCCTGTGAGTACCTGACGACATACTTGACTGACTACAAGCCGAACTTTCCTCCCCTCGCCCTCATCATGCTTTTTCTTCTTGTTTCGAGTGCACCTTCTTCTTCTTCTTCCCGATAATTTCTTATTGCTCTTCTTTGATTTACACATTTCTTTTGTTATTATTTTGTCTTATCACAGATTTATGAATATTTTAAGTTCAAAAATGTTCCTTTCTTCCTCTCTCTCTCTCTCACTCTGCTTCTTCCTATTTCCTTGTTCCGATTCACGTGAATCCTCCCTTCCGTATTGACAATCGTATTGTAGTGTGGGGGCTCTTTTTGAGACCAAAACTGGTTTCCCTCTATTGCTTTGCTCCTCTCAGATGTGCTCTTTTTCCTTCTACTCTCATCTCTCACACATTAATTTACACATGTTTCCGAGATTGGAAAATTAGACAAATTTGGGACACCATTGTTTTTGGAATCCATTATTTTGATTAAAACATTTTCTGAAACACTCGTCCATTAATTTCGAATTTTTGATTTAAAAAACGACCAATGTTCAACACCATAGAAAATCTTTTATATACATTTTGTAACAAATTAGCCTGCCGTATTTTCTTTAATAGAATCCCCTTACCAACCTTCAACTTCGAGCTCAATTATCTCGACTTCTGTAAAGGATATCTGGAATTCGTCAACTGATAAATTGTTCATCATAATATCAGCAATATTTTATCATATGACAAAATTTTGATAACTTTCACAGGAATCGTGATGATTGAGCTCAAAGTTGACGGTTTGAGTGGGTTTCTATCAGGAAATACGGTAATATTCTTCTGATTTCTCCAGTGAAAAGCAGTTCATGAACATATTCAATCCTTGCTGTTGAGAAAATTTTACAATCTCCAGGATTTTGATTCTTGATATTTTTAGCCAAAGTCTACCGGACATATGCTGTAATTCAACATTCACAACCTTGTTTTCCTATGGCATCGCTCAAAACAGCAGTCATATTACCCGACATTGAACTTTTCATAATTAGCTCAGATTTTAAAAAATTGGTTCCAATTTTTTGATAGAGATTTTTTCTTTTAAAAAATCGCTTCTTCTGTTTCTATTTCTCTATTTTTGACAAAAAAGTTATAGTGTTTGAAATTAAGTTAAACTTTTTCCCGATCAATTTTTAACTTCTGTTTTTTGTTTTCTAAAAAAAAAGAATAACTTCAATTTTTTCTTGATAAATCTATTTTTGTAGTCTGCATTTTTATGAAAGTTCCACCTGTTGTTTGTTGTTTACATCCTAAACTACGATGTTTACAGTAGTTCAAAATCACCGTAAACATTCTAATAGAATGACCCACCAACTTCCAACTTTGAGCCAATTTAAGTTGGTTCCTGTGAAAGATACCAAATACTTGTCAATTGGTAACATGTTTGTCATAAAATTACCTACGCTTTGCCATTGGACACATTCTTGATATCTCTTATAGAAATCGAGAAAATTGACCTTAAAGTTGACGGTTTGGATGGGCTTCGATTAGAGTGTTTACGTTATGTTTCAATTATTCATTTTAGAGTTTACTATCTTTTGAAAGACTATCGAAAGTAATCCTGCTTCAAGAATTAGTTTCTTTCCGCTTTTGAATTCCAATGGACCAACTTTCTTTGCTTTCGCCATCTCCTTCTATGTATATTTCTCAGTCTGAACTCAATCCGTTTTATTCAACAATATCTCTTCCGTTTCCTTCCCTATCAGACAAGAATCTTTTACTATTCGGTATACAAATAGAAGCTTATCAGCGTAATGAGCAGATACTTGTGATTTATCTGCCATCTCTCATTTTCCCATGCTCTGTCTCTCTCTTCCGAAATGTTGCAAATCAGTGTATTACGTAAAGTCTCAGCTTATTTGCATACACGATCAACTCCGAGATGGACTTTACGAATTGCAAGAGACATTGAAAATTTGCTTGTGAACATTAAAAGGAAAAAAAGTTTTTTTTCAGGAACCGTTGGGGCACCCAGTCAACGGTGCCTACTACATGGGCGGCGTGTACAATCCGGCGTATCTACACGAGCCGTACGGTCAGAATGGATACATAGGTTAGTATAGAAATTCGAAAGATTGAGAATTTGGAAGAACACAATTTTGAATCCGAGAAGCATACAGTACCATGCAAAAGGTTGTCCACTTTTTTTTTCGAGCATAACTTTCTTCAAAATACATAGAGCTGATGAGGCAAACTTGTCTGTGAAATGTAGTGAATTGCCCGATGAAGAAAGTTGTGCTCGAAAAACAAAAAGTGAGACAACCTTTTGCACGGTACTGTATTTATAAGATGTTTGGATTACCGTACTTCGTCTGATAGAACAACGTCGAAGATGTTAACTTTGAGCTCAAATATCTAGATTTCTGTGAAAGATATCAGAAATCTATCAACTGATTGAACAATTATCATAATATCACCAGTATTTTATTAGTTGACAAAATTTGATACTTTTCACAGGAAGCGAGATAATTGAGTTTGAAGTTGGCGGTTTGTGTAGGCTTCTCTCACAAGGGAACCTTTTAAGTTGACCCGTTAATTTGCATAAACTAACTTCCCAGGATGAAAGAGCATTTTTTAAAACCTATAAAGCCGTTTTCAAAATCTGCTTAAGAAACCTTTAAAGTACTGTAATCAGTTTAAATATCAAAAAATCACTTTTTCAGTGTGAAATCGGCAATTTTCAAATTGGATTTTCTCCTCTTCTAGGAGGTTTTAGGACTTGAAACTTTTTGTGTTATACTTAAAATGATTTGAAATTTTATATTGTGACATTTTTATTCAAAAAATGTTTTTTCTGAAAAGTTTCGGAAAGTTTCGAAATTCGCTTACACTTTGGATCTGCCCAAGTTTTCAATTTTGAACATGTTTTTGATAAAAATGTTAAAATATAGAAATTTCAAATCATTTTAAGTATAACACAAAAAGTTTCAAGTCCTAAAACCTCCTAGAAGTGGAGAAAATCGAATTTGAAATTTGCCGATTTCACACTGAGAAGGTGTTTTTTGGTACTGAAACTGAAATTTCAGTACTTTAAAGGTTTCTTAAGCAGATTTTGAAAACGGTTTGATAAGTTTTCAAACATGCTCTTTCATCCTGTAAAGTTAGTTTTTGCAAATTAGAGGGTCAACTTAAAAGGTTACCTTGTCAGAGGAAATACGGTAGATATTAATAAGAAAATCAGCTATAAAAAAACTCTGAACATGTGTTCAGTATAATATTACTTGTTTCCAGATCCAACATACGGAGACACAAGTCAACAACATCAGACACATCAATACCCGTATTATGGATATCCAAGTTATTCCCATTACAACTATCAACAAGCATCCGCGTATCCAGGTGCCTATGGTCCATATCCGGGTGCTTCTGGCGCCTATCGCCCATATCCCCAACCGGCGCCAAGTCCTCCTCGACGATCTCGAACGGCGCCATCAAGACCACGATCGACGGCGCCGACAATGGGAACATTAGGAGCGGAGAGTCGGCGGGGACGAGGCGTTTCTGCGGAGGCTTTCGATCGACGACAGTATAAAGCATATTTGGGACCAGCGAAAAAACCGATACCAATGTACAGAAAGAAAAGGGAACCACCGATTGGAAGATATCAGGAAACAGATTTTGGAGGTGGTGGGGGAGCTGGAATGGGAGATACTGTATTTACACCGTATAATAGGAATTATTATGGAGAAGTTGGACATAGGACGGTGAGTTATATAAATGGATTTCGTTTGAATTCTGAGATTCTTTGAAATTATTATAGTCTTATTTAAGTAAGAACAGATATTGTAAAATTTGTAATAGAAGGACCTCCATAATTTAAATTTGATCTCAATTATCTCGTTTCCTATAAGAAGCATCAGACATTTGTCAACTGATAACTATTTATCATAGTATTGCCAATATTTTATCCCTTTACTAATTTTTGATATCTTTTATCGGAATCGAGATAATTGAGCTCAAAGTTGAGAGGTTGGGTGAGTTTCTATTAGAGCAAATACAGTAAATTGAGGGAACAGTTATTAAGAACATAATTCAAAAATTTATTAATTTGAAAAATGATATTCTTCAGCAACAACAGCAACAGACGATGACGTTACGAAGGTTACGACCCTTCTATGCACCTTCATACACAACATATCCACCCTCAACGATGCATCCGAAAAATGCATTGAACAATAGGAACTACCCATTATATGCAAGGCTTGCAGCCAAAGCAGTTCAAGTTGTAAGTATAATCACGAAATCTCAAAATTAATTGTTTTTCACTTTCCAGATCCTCGGAGTAGCAGTGATTGGATTAGTGTTAGGACCGATGAAAGGCAATTCGTTCCATGATTTTGTGATAAGAACGAATACAGAATGGCAGGGATTAGTGTTGGGAATCAGTGTTTCGTTTTCATTCTTTTCTCTTGTTCTTGGTATCACTTCTTGTTTTGCCAGCAATTTAGCCATTTGGAAGAAAGTTGTGAGTTTTTGGATTCGAACATTTTGCGGTATATCCGAAGTTAGGCTACCGTACTTTTTGAAAATTTTACTTTTAAAAAACTGTTTGAGTTCTTGAATTACCTCGTCTATTACCCTTCTTCCTCTAGGAGCACCACCCAAACCGTCTAACTTTGAGCTTGATTATCTCGATTTATGTGAAAGGTATCGAAATTTTGTCAACTGATAAAATTTTGGTAATATTATGATGAACTTTTAGTGAGTCATTCTTTTACATGGATTTCTATCACAAGATTTTTTCTCAAAATGTCAACCTAATTTTTGAATACATTCTCGCTGAAAATGCATCGGCGCTTTCAATTTTCCAAAAAAGAGATTTAAGGAGGCGAGACAGCAAATATTTCGGGGGACAGTTCGGGGGACGAAATCGCGCCGCGCTTATGTAGACCATCAGTCGGCAGGCGCCTTCGCGAGCTGTACCCCTGAGCTGCCTGTCATGAGTTCAACCCCTCATGGGGGTTCTCTATGAAAAATATCAGGAAAACTTTTTTTGATGTCTGGCCTCCTTTAAGGTTAGAAATTAAAAAAAAAACATTTAGAACGTTTCCTGAAATTCAAGGATGAAACATGAAATTTATGAAAAATAGCAAGTGAACTGATTAGCCAGACATTTGGTCTATTGATCCCTTTCGCCACGTAGAAGCTCAGTACATGAAAGGGTCCCCCGTCCTGATCTCCGAGGACCATTATTGGTTAATTTCCAAAGTTCCTTTTCCCTGCTTGTAAAAAGCCATGCATACGCTTATTTTTTTTCAATTTTTTCGATCTGTCATTAAACGTTTTGTGAAAAATGAGGAGCGGAGCGAAGTACAGTAAAACAAATAGGTTAAATCGCGCCGAAGGCCCACCAGCCAGCTGTCAAGCTGGTCAAAGCTGTCAACTGATGAAATATTTTTGATATTATGATGAACAATTTAACAGTTGACAACTTTTTGAAATCTTTCATAGGAACCGAGGTAATTAAGCTCGAACTTAACCGTGTGAGGGCCCTTCTATTATAGGTATGTTATTTCAAGTGAAATATCCTAAGTGTTGTTGTTGTTTCTCCCAACTACAGTATTCATAGTATTCACCAAATCTTGAATTCAGGATGGTCTTCTAACTGCAGCCGGATGCTTCTTCTGGCTAGTTGCTGGATTTGTGGAAGCCTATTTCGCAGCATGTTATCCACCAAACGGTCCGAGAATCAATCTCGTTTGTCATCGAGCTGAATGGATCATTGCTTGTGTGAGTATCACATTTTCAGTTCTATTTCCAGGAAAAAAGTTAGTTTCATTAATCTAAATACCACCTTTTCAGATTCTCGCTTTCATCAACTTCTGCGTCTTCGTAGCCGACTTCGTGCTATCGTGGATGAATGGTGCCTCAATGCTGTGATCTTTTGTTACCCCTCCCTGTAAATCTCTCATCGCTTTCTTTATTCCTCGATCCGGTCGATTCATTTTGTTTCCCACTTTAACGTACAACGCTTTCCCAGTCGTTTCTCTATATATGGTGCACGTGTCACTTGGTTCGCTCAAATGTCTCTCTATTTCTCTTCCATCACTGCCTTTTATATGTTTATCCATTTTCTATTTTTGCGTTTTTCTAAAAAATGACTCTTCAACTCCAAAACCGAACACTTTCTAAATTTCTAGTCTTTCCGACCACCGATTATAGTTTTCTATTTTTTTTTCCATTACTGTACTGCCCTCCTCACTTCTTATGTTCTCTTAGATGTATTACTAATTTTCTGAGAATCACAAATCACCGTCCATTTGTTTTTTTTATTTCTAAATATTTCTGTCGTTATTCCCAGAAATTCAAATTTTCTGTTATCGATTCAGGTTGCTGACGATTTTCACTTTTTAAGGGACTGATCTTGGATTCTGAAAGATAATACTTTTTCTGGATCCGGAATCTTTTCTTCTGTTTTAGAATGCTTATTTGCTCAACACAAAACATCCGAATTTTATATAATTCTTTGCTCAAAAATAAATATTTATTTTTCTACATGCATTCTAGGTTTTCAGTATTTCAGCTGAATGGAGCACAATTTCAGATGCATCAATAGGAACCAAATGAATCACGACGCTTTCAGTATAATTTAGATTTTTTGTGAAAATTCTCACGTATTCTACAAAGCAATTACTGCAAAAGAGTTTCAGAATTGGAACTCGAAACCTTTTTTCTGAAAGATTACTGTACACATTTTGTTGAGTGTTTGCGTAGTGTGGCTTTGCGGAAGCGCGCCAAATTGAATTACAAAATTTTCATTTTTTTTTTGTGTCAAGCGCCAAACTTTGTTTTTCTGTTCCTTTTTTGCCGAAAGAAAAACAACATATGAACATGTAAACAACTCGAAAATTCAATCGAAAGCGTTCTGTTTGTGTCGAGCAAGCTCCTCGTACCTTCAACGTTTTCGTTTTCATGGCATCGATGCTCTTGTTTTCTTTCTACTGCTTTCTGAACTTTGCACCGTGTATTTAGATTCTGTTCAATGAACGCTCATCAATCTCCTTGAATCGAATAACGTCCTTCCTTCACTAATTTGATCTTTTTCCCTCTCATGACATCATTATCCCTTGCTTTTTACAGTCACCCCACCTCGAGCACCCATAGTTTCTTCTTCGGCAGTTTTTTCTTGCCGTATACAACATACATTGAACATCATCGTTCAAAAATAACACACAGAAACTTGGGCGGAGTCGTAGGAGAGAAGGAGAGGCAACCTCGATCTGGTGACCAGGCATCGGCTACGTCTCTTCGTTTCGTGTGCTCTTCAGCGTGCTGCGTCTCTTTTGGGGCCATTCTCTACTGACGGCCACTGATACTCCTGCCATCTTTTTCTTCTCCTCATTCACACACCAGCAACCCAAGCTTCGGGCACAGTCGGTGTAGAAAATCGAGAATGTCGGTCGATCCAAATCTTCTCACTCCATACAAGGTAATTAATTAAAGTCTATGTTTTTAATTTTCCAACAAGTACTTCTTTTTCAGAACACAGGAGCTGCCAACGCTTCGCTCCGTCAGATCTCTGAAGATGCCTTCTACGTCGTCAATGAGGTCGTCATGAAGCGTCTTGGGCATGTTCCAATTCTCAAGGTAAGAATATGCCGAGAAGAGAAACATAATATTGTTTACACTTTCATTATTTTGATATTTAACTGCTATGATAACGACGAATACAACACCGAAGCAAACAAAATTTGATAAGAAGAAGAAGGTGGAAAGTACACATAAGGGGGTCTACCAAAGCCAATTTTTCTTTGAAAAAGCAAGAGATAGAAGTTCTACCTAAAGAAACTCCCATCCATAACAATTTTCCAAATGGAAGTTTGTGCCAACTCTTTGTCCCTTTCACAAGTAACACAATACAAAATAGTAACACAAAAAATGTTTGCTAATAGGATTTTCCCATTGCTTTGCTTTTCAATTCGTCTTCACAATAAACAAACCATCGGAGAGACCAAAGAAGACCACCGTCTACTGCCTGCGTTGTAAAGGCCAAAAGAGCGATGATTTTCTGAAGGAATTGATCGCTTATCACTTGATTGACTCGCCGATATCATATCACACCACGAGACAGTTGCGGGGTTTTCCAAACTGTTCCCTGAAGGGCGGCGCAAAGTACGGGCGCTTTTCGCCACGTGGGGTGATTTCGTGCCGATGTGTAGTTGTTGTGTGTGGAGAGAGCGTGCGCGTGCGCCAGGCACCGGGGACCATAGAATATTCCAGAAGAGAGGAATAGCCGGGAAGAAAAGCAAAATAAGAAAACAGCTCGTCGTTTTTTTCTTCTTTTGGAATTGAAAGTGGCTTTCTCGTGTGGGAAATTAGCATCCGAGTGTCTCTTGATTTTGAGTAGTTCTGGTTGAAAAATGGGGAGCACTGAGCAAAAAATACTCGAGAGAGAAAAGTTGATACCTAGAAAACAAACTTTGAAGAATAGTTTTTTGTGTTCCAAAATGAATCATAACTTCTGGCGAAACAATCATGTATTGTCTTCTGGGGCTTTTCGCTTTTGAGTTTTCGACAAACCAAAGTTCCCAAGACCACAGTGTCAAAAGAAGTACTATCCCCACGTGGCGTGTTTGCAACTCATATCCTTCTCATCACAACCTTTTGTCTGCGTGCAATCGGACACAAGTGGGGAGCCGGATAGCAGTTGGTGCCCTCTGACTCTTTTTCGACCCCTGTCGTGCCCACGGTCAATTGATCCGTTTGAGATAGTGAGAGACAAGAGAAATGAGAGAATCGAAACATGTGAAATAATAAACAAAATTCGACCAACGACGTTTTTCGTGCAAGAACCGGTTTGGGATAGCATCGAAACGAAAGGTTGTGATGTTCAAATGATACTATTGTTGATGTAAATTTTAAAAAGGCGCCGCCGCGTAGAGGAGGAAAAATTGAACTTTGGTTTCAGGGTCTTGTAGTTTTGGGTGCATGGGTATAGGGCAACAAATATAAACATTTTAGGGAGACTTCCATCTTCTGCCAGCCAAGGTTCAACGCTTCATCGCCGAGAAGGCGGAGTTGATGCGTCCACGTGGAATCTTCATCTGCGATGGATCTCAACATGAAGCTGACGAGCTTATCGACAAGCTCATCGAACGTGGAATGCTCTCCAAACTCGAGGCTTACGAGAACAACTACATCTGCAGAACGGATCCAAAGGACGTTGCACGTGTCGAGTCAAAGACCTGGATGGTCACCAAGAACAAGTACGACACTGTCACACATACTAAAGAAGGAGTTGAGCCAATCATGGGACACTGGCTTGCACCAGAAGATCTTGCAACTGAGCTCGACTCTCGTTCCCAGGATGTATGGCTGGACGTATCATGTACGTTATTCCTTTCTCCATGGGACCAGTCGGAGGACCACTCTCCAAGATTGGAATCCAACTTACCGATTCGAACTACGTCGTCCTCTCCATGAGAATCATGACCCGTGTCAACAACAGCGTCTGGGATGCTCTCGGTAACCAGGATTTTGTCCGTTGCATTCACTCCGTAGGACTCCCTCGTCCAGTCAAGCGTAAGTTCCATCTCTAGGAGAGTTATCGGCTGAATTCAAATATAGCCCCCACCCCAATTCAAGTATAGCCCCCCCCCCCAAAATGAACCATAGTAGAGCCCCCCCACCTCCAACAATCTAGACACTTGCAGCAGATCAAAATAAGCGTGTGTGTGTGTGAAGGGTACCGTAACCGTCATGATGCAAATTTTGAGCTTTTTTTAAAATTTTTCTTTGATTTTTTCGGAATTTGTGTCATTTTTCACCATTTTTCCTTGTTTCTCGGGAACTTTTTCTGAAAAATACTTGTCAGCTATGTATATCTTATCAGAACTTCCGAAATTAAAACATTCTAAAATTCAGGCTTAGGCCAAAAAATGGTGGGGACCTATTTTTGAATTGGTGGGGGTCTAAAATTGAATGGGTGTGGGGCTATTTTTGAATTGGTGGGGGCTATTTTTGAATTGGTGGGGGGTCATATTTGAATAAAGTGGGGGGGGGGGGGTTCAGATAAAGTTCTCTTTTTGGGGGGCTATTTTTGAATAGGTGGGCCTTTAATTGAAGAAGGCAGGGAGTTGCGGGGCCATATTTTAAGAATACCAGGTTCTTCAAGTATACGCCCCCACTTTGTACTGGTGGGCGGTCATACTTTAATCAACCAATTCAACTTCAGCCCCCCACACCTCAGTAGAGCCCCCCCCCCACCCATTTTTTGACTGGTGGGGGGCTCCACTATAGTTGTNTATAAAGTGGGGGGGGGGGGCTATATTTAGATTATACCGAGTTATCAATTAAACCTATCTTGATTACAGAACGTGTCATCAACCACTGGCCATGCAATCCAGAACGTGTCCTCATTGCTCATCGTCCACCAGAGCGTGAAATCTGGTCCTTCGGATCCGGATACGGAGGTAACTCTCTCCTCGGAAAGAAATGCTTTGCTCTTCGTATCGCCTCCAACATTGCCAAGGATGAAGGATGGATGGCCGAGCACATGCTTATTATGGGTGTCACTCGTCCATGTGGTCGTGAACACTTCATCGCCGCCGCTTTCCCATCTGCTTGCGGAAAGACTAACTTGGCTATGCTCGAGCCAACCTTGCCAGGATGGAAGGTCAGATGCGTCGGAGACGACATCGCTTGGATGAAGTTTGGAGAAGACGGAAGACTTTATGCTATCAACCCAGAAGCTGGATTCTTTGGAGTTGCTCCAGGAACATCCAACAAGACTAATCCAATGGCTGTTGCCACTTTCCAGAAGAACTCTATCTTCACGAATGTCGCCGAGACCGCTAACGGAGAATATTTCTGGGAAGGTCTTGAGGATGAGATCAAGGACAAGAATGTTGACATCACCACGTGGCTCGGAGAGAAATGGCACATCGGAGAGCCAGGAGTGGCTGCTCATCCAAACTCGTAAGGCTCTTAGACCCTTTTCTATTTTCCTCATGCGTTTTTTCAGCCGTTTCGCTGCTCCAGCCAATCAATGCCCAATCATCCATCCAGACTGGGAAAGCCCACAGGGAGTTCCAATCGAGGCTATCATCTTCGGAGGACGTCGTCCACAAGGAGTCCCACTCATCTACGAGACCAACTCATGGGAGCATGGAGTTTTCACTGGATCGTGTCTCAAGTCAGAAGCCACCGCTGCCGCTGAATTCACTGGAAAGACTGTCATGCATGATCCAATGGCTATGCGTCCATTCATGGGATACAACTTTGGAAAGTACCTTCAACATTGGTTGGACCTGAAGACCGAGTCTAGAACGGTTTGTAATTTTAAAAACATTCAATTGTGTAAAATTTTTTAATTTCAGATGCCAAAGATCTACCACGTCAACTGGTTCCGTAAGGATGCTAACAACAAGTTCTTGTGGCCAGGATTCGGAGACAACATCCGTGTCATTGACTGGATCATCAGAAGACTCGACGGAGAGACTGATATTGGAGTTGAGACTCCAATCGGTACAGTTCCAGCCAAGGGATCCATCAACTTGGAAGGACTCGGAAATGTCAACTGGGATGAGCTCATGTCTGTGCCAGCTGACTACTGGAAGCAAGATGCTCAGGAGATCCGCAAGTTCCTCGAAGAGCAAGTCGGAGAGGATCTTCCACAACCGGTTCGTGCCGAGATGGATGCTCAAGAGAAGCGCGTTCAATCATTGTAGATCAACTTCTCACTCCTCTTGCGCTTCAATACACGGTTACCTAACAGTTTTTATTTGTTTCATGTTTTATGTATTCCCCCCCCCCCTAATTTGTGTAGTGCCTTTTCGTAAAATTCACTGCTCTTCTCTTTCTCTCCCTCTCTCTCTCAAAAGTTTCCCTTTCTCAATGTGTATAGATTGCATGATTTTTATATAGTCTAAATAAATGGTTTCGACATAATTCTTCGATTGAGAACACCGGAAAATGCATTTTTACTTACAACTAATCTCAAGAAAATTAATCAGAAAGTCACTGTTATGAGACATTCCATATATAACTTACGAGCTACGTATGACAGAAATCATCAGATGCACGAATTTGGTTGTTTTACAATTGTAGATAATCGTATTTTAAACAATTTTTTTGAAATATTAAAGTATATAAAAGTTTAAATATTAAATATTCAAGTTTAAGAACCTGATCTAGGTTAACATGTTCCTTTAAAAGAATCCCATTCAAATCGTCTACTTTGAGCTCAATTATCTCGGTTTCTGTGAAAGATATGAAAAATATGTCATTTGATTAAGTATTGGTGATATTATGATGAATAATTAATCAGTAAAAACAATTTTTATATCTTTCACAGGAAACGAAATAATTGAGTTTTTGAACTTCTCAATTTCTGATTATTAGAATTTCAGAATTTTTCAATTTCTCAATTTCTCCATCTTTCAATTTCTCAATTTTCTGAACTTTCGAATTTCAGAATTTTGAATTTTTGAATTTTTGAATTTTTGAATTTTTGAATTTCTGAATTTCCGAATTTCAGAGTTTCAAAGTTTCAGAATTTTTGAATTTTTGGATTTCTGAATTTCTGAATTTCAGAGTTTCAAAGTTTCAGAATTTTTGAATTTTTGAATTTTTGAATTTTTGAATTTTCGTATTTTTGAATTTTTGAATTTTTGAATTTTTGAATTTTTGAATTTCTGAATTTCTGAATTTCTGAATTTCTGAATTTCTGAATTTCTGAATTTCTGAATTTTTGAATTTTTGAATTTTTGAATTTTTGAATTTTTGAATTTTTGAATTTTTGAATTTTCGAATTCCTCGATTTCCCGATTTCCCGATTTCTCAATCTCTGAAATTCCAAATTTCGGGACTCCTAATTTTCTCCGTTCCTCAATTTCGGATTTTCCGGATTTCCGAACTTCTGAATTTCAAACATATTAAATTTCCCTTTTCACAAGAGCTTTGAAAAGTTGGAGCGCTTTCCAACTTTAGGATACTGCTACTTTTTTCATGTTCTCCATTTGAAGAAACAACGGGTGGCGCATAATTACCAGGGCAAATGTTTTTATCAGCATAACACTTGAGAAAAGCGTTGTACTGGGCTCAAATTAGGAGTGTAAAATTCAAGTAATTCAACTGGCATATTGCATGGTTATGGACTTCTAAGGTATGTGAGATATAGTTTGACTCGACTTGTGCCACACCTGCAAAAATATGGTCGTGGAGTGTATAATGATTAGGTCTTATTGTACAGGGTGCGGCAAAATTATGGTAACACAAGTTTCGCGCAAGCTGATGGGCGCAGGCGCACTTTTAGTGTCCTGAATTAATATTCATTATTTTCAGCATGTCTTAATTACCTTATTACCAAATTTTGAATTCTTTTGGTTGACTTTTACAGAAATGGTGACAAGTTCTCTACACCTAGGTACCCTCGTCGAGGTGGCCAAGAGAGGGGTGGGCACAGGTAGCATCTGAAAAGCTCTTGGAATCTCACGAACAACCGTGTGGATAACCATGGAATGGTTTGATTAGTTAAAGGTGGGGGGACATGAAAAAAATAATGTTCTCGAAATTTCGTTTAAATATGCCTCTCGAGGAGTTGAACGTGTGGGACGAGGATTGAGGGTGCGGCGCCGCTACCGACTGAGTTACACGGGCAAAGAGAAAGCGGTCGCCCGATTGCATACATAAAGGCGAGGACGACAGCTGTACGCAGAGTGACATTAAGCGTTGTACACCGCCACGGTAGAATGCATACTCTGGCCCCAAAAATCCCCCGTAAAATCTCCTGTCCCCCCACCTTTAAATACAATAAAGAACTGTTCAAAAAACATAATATCTCAAACTTTGATCATTCTGAAAAAAGCAAGATCGTCCAAGAACAAGTTTGTCGAAATCCGCATCGAAGAAAGAAAAAATGAGCCTGGAGCTCCGAATGAGCAGTCAGCCACTCAGTAAAAACGATAAAAGTAGCTTGGACTGACCCCATATCGTGTTCGAAAGACTGGAATTCTGCCGGGAAACAACAATCTGGTTGGCGTCCAGAAGTGCAAATTGACATTTGCTGGCACGCGCCAAAATGAACACATGAGGATGATGTTTGTCGATGAGAAACTCTTGACGGTGGAAGTCGAATTCTCATCGAAAAACTATCTAGTTTCTTCCCCGAGATCTGAGCTATTTAATAAGAATAGTAACATGACGAAAAGAGATTCATATCATCAGAACGTCATGGTTTTTGGTGCAACAACCTCCAAGTTCTAATTTTTGTAGATTTTGGGGTGAAAATCAACAAAAAGTACTAATATGAAGAAATTTTCAAAGGGTATTTTCTTCCATGGACCAAATCCTATTTTGAAAACCATGTTTGGACTATTCATCGGGCTTCTGCTCCCGCTCACAAGACAAAAATTATTCAGCCATGATGCACGCCAATTTTTCAATATTTAGTATGACTTGCGCATGGTCACCCTCGTCGTCAGACATGAATCTGTTGTACTATTCAGCATATGAAATATTTCAGTCAAGGGTCCAAGCACGTCCAGAACCTAATTTGTAGTCATTGGAAACAAGTTTGAACCCAGGACCGGCCCAGCGATCCCCAAAGCACCCACGTGTCACAGTGGAGGCATTCCCGAAGAGACTCATCGATGCTGTGAGAAACAAAGGCAACCGCGTCGAGCAATTTTTATAACTTCATAATTAGAAAGTATTCGGTAAACTATGGTCCAATTTTCATGTTGATACGGGATATTTTGGGAAAGTTACATCACTTTGATTGTGTTACCATACTTTTGCCGCACACTGTAGACACTATTTTGAACATTTTTTGTATTGGCACTAAGCTAAAATTCTTCCATCTTACTAGGAAAAATTTCAATTTTTTGCAAAACAGCTATTTTTTGGACCAAAAAATGACCGTCCTGAAAAAGACTTCCCTTATTTTATGAAATTAAACATAAAATTCAGATCCTACATTAAAAAATACATTAGCAACTGTTTTGAGATTAAAGATAAACCTGAGCCTACTATGA